ACTTGTTGCTGATTATTATTCAATCTTCCTCTGCCACGCCCTTGTTGTTGTCTGTTCCAGCCTCTGTTGTTTGGCTGCTCTGGCTTGAGATAGATGATGACTGGTGCAGGTCCTTGCGGTGCATTGACTGCTCCAGCAGGTGCTGCCTGTGCTGTTGCAGTCTGATTTGCTGGTGCAGGCACATTCATTGTTGCAGGTGGATTGACAGGCACCGAAGTATTGACAGGTGCAATCACTGCTGAGTGGTCTTCCTTCTGCACTGCTTGGACCTTTTTCTTCTTGTTGAGCAGCTCCTCAAGCTGCAGCTGAGTTAGTTTTCTTTGCAGCTCTTTTTCTTGGTTCTTCATCTTTAGCTCTTGTCTTCTGTACTGCTCCACAGCATGGACCACATGGTCTCTGAACTCTTTGTGTGTCTTTGAGTTCAGACCTACGACATCCTCCAGCTTCACTTTCACTGTTGTAGGCATGGCTTCCACAATGGCGGTCCTGAAGAGTGCTGTCAGTACTTTGTCTTGCTCTGGATCTCTTTCCAGTTCTTCGTTCCAGCGTTTTAGTTGTCTCTGGATGTAGGCGGTGGGGTTCTAAGTTTCCCCCATTGACTCCCCTTTTAGGAACCCTGGATCAGTTTGCAGATCGTCCAGATGTCACGTTGATGTTTGTCAAAGGAGACTCCATCTGCTTGAGGCCTGTCCACTGCTTGAAGGGGGCCAGGCTGCTTGAGGATGTCATTCATCTTGGATGCTCCCAGGTACTTAGCAAGCAGGGCTTTGATGTCACCCAAGGCCAGAAGTTTTCCAATTGTTTCTTCTTTAAATGTTCTGATCCATTTTCCAGCACCTTCATGAATGTCTGGAAGACGGGAAACCAAAGTGTCCAAGTCTTCACTTGCCCAGGGTATGTATTGGGCGTGACCTTGCTTGATGAGGATTGGGCACTCAAATCTTGGGGCTTCAGCCCTTCTTGATGTCCTTGTTAATCTGTGCTCATCTTCTCCTTTTCGTCTTTGTGTTTGGAGAACTTGAAATCGGTCATCTGGATATTTTATATCTTGCATGACCAGTGTCCCAGCTACTTGCTTGTACTGCTTCCGCTGGACATAATCATGTGGGCTTGGGTGTGGTTGCATTGGTTCACGTTTGCCCATTAGTTCATCCAGCTCCTGTTGCAATGAGTCCACAGCCTGTTTGAAATCTTCCCTTGTCATGTGATCAGCTTGTTTGAGATTCTCTCTTGTTCTGTTGCACCTTTCCTCCATCTCATCCAGTGCTTCCTGGACGGAGTCAGCAGGTGTCACTGTTCCTTCAGGTGCATCTTCTGGCTCTTCTGTTTGATAGTTCCTCACATCTCCACAAACTGATGTCTGATGTTTGTGGTGGTCTTCCATTTCTTTGAGCATTTCTGAAAGACATATATGTGGGTGGCTCACCTGCTTTTTCCTCCTCTCTGTAGTCCTTGGCCCCTCCTCTTTTGTTCCTTGGCTCCACCTCGTGGGCTGTTCTTTCTCTCTCTCTTAGCAGTGGTGTGGATGTTCTCAGCCCCTCCTCATGTAGCTCTAGCCCCTCTCTCATGGTTGTGTGTCTGTTTCTCTAACCCCCTGTTGTCTGCCATTCTCCTCAGTTCACTTCTGCAGCTCTGCTCATTTATTTCAACATCTGTACTTGCATCTTGTACATATCCCTCAAATTCTATTGGCCCCTTTAAATCTATTGTTCCCTGTATTAAAGGCACTTGATTAACGCTCGATTTCAGGAAGGAGCATATGGAGGCGGCCTTTCTTCTTTTATTTCATTATTTTTATTCTCTCTTTCTTGTTTCTCCAATTTTAATAATTTAATTCCATGTTGTTTGAACAGGGTCAGTACCCCTAATTCTTGTTCTCTTTTTTCATTTCTCTTTTTGGATTTGTCATTGGTCTTGTAATTTTTTAACAGGACCTCCATTTCTTTACACATTGCCACATCAAATGTTCCCCCTGCTGGCCATTCAATAGCCAATTTCTTTGTTCTCTCTGCCCACTTTTTTGAGAGTTCCATTATTGTTTCTTTACAGGCTGGATTTTTAGAAGCCATTAATTCTACTGGAGTTGACATCTTTGAAATTTGAGTTATCAATTTGTTCAACACAATTAATTATTATTATTTTTTTTTTATTAGTTTTTTTCCTCAGTGATTTACCTCTCTAATCACAGCATTTTAATTAATAGCTAATCTTCACCAAGCTCATCAGACGAGGATCACTAAAAGTATCCGACCCCTGATTTCCAACTGGACTTTAGCTGGGCGGAGGACTCATCACCTTTTTATAGGAGTTGATTAGATTGTTTCAAATATTTTAAAATAATCACAATGTGTTTTCTAGTTAACAATTTGAAGGGTAACACAAGGCCTTTTGGCTCTTTCCATCGCAAATTGCCTTTTGTCCAAATTATGTTTTCTCCCAAGCTAAATGCCTCAAAACTCCACAGCCTCCTCAAATTAAATTTGCGACCTGTAGCCGTCACTCCTCCTGCCCAAATTGAGTAAGTGAAAGATGGGGTTAACTCTATGCAAAACCCTCCTATCCTGAATATTCCAATGTTCAGTTCATCTTTCATACAATATTTTAATTTTAATGGTTCCATAAAGTCAATTAATAATATTTTTTCTTGTATTGATATAATTTGTCTGCCCCTTCTTCCCCTTCTTTTCTTTTTCTTATTTACAACAATTTCATCACCCATTTTTTCCTTTTTTTTCTATTTAAATCAATTAAGCAATGATCTCAACATCTGCTATTCTATTTCTTAATGCTGGTAGATTTCTACCAATTTCTGTCCATGTGTAAGGGTCTACTTCTCAACACAATCATCATCATCAGTCGTCTCAGTATCCTGCTGGTTATATGCAATGCCAGTGCACTCCCTGTCTCATTTACACTAACCCTTATGTTATGCTTGGGGTATAACACAGACCCCAGACCCACCATAATATTTCCACAATATTTACGCTTGCAGAAATATACATTTGTTTACATTTTGCAGAACAGACGGAAGAAGATCCGTCAATGTGCATTTGGTTCATTATGTTCAGATGTTCGGTAACTTAGCAGTCATGTGAGAAGTTTTCACTCTTCTCCGTGTCAGAGGTTATTTATACATATATAATACATAATTAATATACTTTAAAATATAATTTAATTCAGTGATGCAAATCAGAATCAGAATGATAGTAAATCCAACATATTGGAATGATTTCTGAAGGATTATGTGACACTGAAGACTGGCGTAAAGGCTGATGAAAAAATAAAAAAATAAAAACATTTATATATATATATACACATAACATAAATTTTATCTATATATCTAAATAAAAATAGACTATAGATATACAGTATATGATCCAAAGTAACTAGTAACTAACTACTTGAGTAGTTTTTTTTATCCGATACTTTTTTACTCTTACTCAAGTAACTATTCAGACTATTACTTTTAGTTTTACTTGAGTAAATATTTCTATAAGTAATGTTGATGGTGTTGAAATTATGCAGCCAAGCGATGATATCTCGGATCATTATTTAGTCTTGTGCAAACTTTATATAGCTAAAACTGTAAATTCTACTCCTTGTTACAAGTATGGTAGAACCATCACTTCTACCACAAAAGACTGCTTTGTAAGTAATCTTCCTGATTTATCCCAATTCCTTAGCATTTCCAAAACTTCAGAACAACTTGATGATGTAACAGAAACTATGGACTCTCTCTTTTCTAGCATTTTAGATACAGTTGCTCCTTTACGCTTAAGGAAGATTAAGGAAAACAGTCTGACACCGTGGTATAATGAGCACACTTGCACCCTAAAGAGAGCAGCCCGGAAAATGGAGCGCAGCTGGAGGAAAACAAAACTAGAGGTATTTCGTATTGCTTGGCGGGAAAGTACGCTATCCTACAGAAAAGCATTAAAAACTGCTAGATCCGATTATTTTTCATCTCTTTTAGAAGAAAACAAACATAACCCCAGGTATTTATTCAATACAGTGGCTAAATTAACGAAAAATAAAGCATCAACAGGTGTTGACATTTTCCAACAGCACAGCAGTAATGACTTAGAACTTATTTACACTTCCAAGATCGATACTATTAGAGATAAAATTGTAACCATGCAGCCATCAGCTATAGTATCGCATCAGATAGCTTGCTATAGATCGCCTGAGGAACAATTCCACTCATTCTCTACTATAGGAGAGGAAGAATTGTATAAACTTGTTAAATCATCTAAAGGAGCCATGGTTGGTGAGTACGATCCATTTTTATCTACTCTACTGCTAGTCCTTGTGTATTTGATGCTGGCCTTTCTCTGTAGCGATACTCCTGCTCTGTTTTTCTGACTTTAAGTTTGACCCACCTGCTAAGTCAGGACCTCCTGCTGTTGACTGATTACAGTGATGGTTTCACTCATCGGTTCTGGTTCCAGGCTGGTGATAGCCCTTATCTTCGCCCTTATCTTCGGACATCTCACCCCACTGTGGAGTGGGCTGGAGTACACTGCGTTCCCTGAGGTAAGAGGGATTTGGGTTTCTGTGGGAAACCCCTCCTTTGTGCTTCTGCTCTGAGGAGCAGTAAGCTCTATATGCATGAATGGTTATTGGGTCCCGCTATTTCTTCAGATTCTATCGGGTCTAGTTATACGGGACCCACGCTCTCTATCGAGATCATGAGACCGTGTCCAGCTGCACCAGTGGACTGTCTCTTATTGGGCCCTGCTGGGTTAC